GCTAAACAACGTCACAGAAACATAAAATTCAATTTCAGTGAAAGGTCTGCACTCTGAATGCACGGTTGTCTTGGTGTTCAAGAGAAGTAAAACATGAACAGAAATGCTGCCTTAGCACTTTCTTACCGTCACCCTCTCTGTCCTTTGCTGCTGATATTCCCTTCTTAGCCTTGAGAATTATTGCACTCATTTGCAGACACATTCCTGCCCTGGATAAATATCACAGTCTGTGTCATCAGATGAAAGAAATCCATTTCTGTGCCCTTTTCACTCAAGTCTGCACTCACAGGATATTAGTGAATATTGATGGGAGGTAGGCTGTGTTCAACTCTCGGAAGAAGCAGACAGAATCACTGCTCTTTCTACTCATCACTGGCCATGTGACTTAAAAAAGCCAACTGGTGCCCATAATGGTTTAACTTAGGCCTTTTATTGTTGTGGGGGAATTCTAAGAACACTAAATTTGGAGGGAAAGAATAGTTTTAAAGTCAAGAGTTTGGGATTTTTTTTCTTTTATGGGGGTGGTATTTGAGGCTACACCAGGTTGTACTCAGAACTTACTCCATTTGCTCAGAGATCACTCCTGGTAGGGTGCAGGAGACCATATGGTGTGCCGGAAACTGAACCCAAGTCTGCAGCGTACGAGGTAAGCGTCCCATCCCTACCTATTGTACTACGGTTCCAGCACCAAGAGTGTTGGCTTCTAATCTTAGCTCAGTCACATCTGTCTGCATTGCCATTGCCGTGCACCTGTTTCCTCACTTCTCCGGGAAGGGAGCTAGTATGTCAAAGTTTTACAGTTCTTCCAGCTCTCAAGTCGTCTGATGTGTACCACATTAAATTTAAATCTGAATTTAGAGTATTTGATATACTATGTACTCTGACTCATCATGATTTATGAGCCTTCCATAGGGCTGAGTACCTGTAATAGAAACGGGCCGCATGCCCACAGACCCAGATGCTTCTGAGGATCTAAAATGGTCAGTGGGCATGCCTCCAAGTCACTACAAAGCCTTTGGTATATGGATGGTTCCGCGCAGCTTAAGAGCAAGTTCACATTGTGTCCAATTCAATCAGACAGTTTCTGCTCATTTTCTGAGGTCTTGGGCTAAGCCCTAACACAGAGTTTATTTTCTACTACATTTTCGTAAACCTTATTCAGTCATAATTCCCAAACCAGGAGAGATCAGTTATAATTTAAAATCCTAGAATGGAAACATCCTCTCTCTATATACACATATATGTATAAGATACATATTCTATATATATTCTATATATATTCATTTTTTAATTATTTAAAACTGAAACTTCAATTGCTTTACAGCACATTTTAAGTTTCCAAGGTCATATTTTGCTATTGGTCACCATGCTGGAAAACACTAATAGAACATTTTCATTAGCATAGAAAGTTTTACTAAACACCAACAAATTATATTAGAACCACACAAAAAATCTTAAAATATAGGCCCTTGAATTTGGTAAGAGACATTTTTGAGTGCCCCCAAGTCAACAAGGCAACTATACAGTAGGAGGAATGTAGTCCACATTTTAAGTCACCTCTTTAGACATTATAACTTCACTTGATGGGTGCAGGACAAGTGAGCCTGAGTCTGGCATCCAATGAGCTTCCCTGGCATTTAAAATACTTTTGAGAACAGAAGCCTCAGAAAACTCACACACTACTGGCACATGCATATCAAAGTTTCTCATGAGTTGCTTATTCCATTTAAGTTCTAAATCTATCATTCCACCAAATGTCATTCTGTTTCTATAGATACTTCATATATATCGACTACTGCCAGAGGACTAGGAGTTTCCCCCTTGGTTTCTTGCTCATTGATAATCATTGCCAGTAACATATTTTTTGAGCCAAAATAAAAGTCATTCAATGATTTTCTGATTCAGTGTGAAGTGGAAACTTAATGTAAATAAAAAATGCAGTTGATACTAATTAGTAGGAACATATTTAGTCATGAATACAGTCTGAAAACGTTATGGAAGTATAAAAAATAAATTGTGAGAATCTAAAACTAAGTAAAAGAGGCGTTTCTTACTAATATGCTAACTTCTTCAATACTAGCAGGAAGACTTGGAAAGGTACCCAAACCAACGCGTACTGCTTTTCATTTCATTCCTATATTTTTAATTTTTAATGCGGCCGCGCGGTTCCAGGATCTGGTTTAATGTTCTAACTTCTAAAAATTGTTTCTTACAAATTTGTGATAGGTTAAGAGGAAAAGAATTGTAATATTGAGCCTTACAAATTTGTGATAGGTCATAAAACTATTGGAAAAGAGGAAATGAATTGTAATATTGAGCACTTTCAAAAACTGGAAATTTTCAATCTCTACATCTTACCTATCTGTTTAAAACCTATTATTCTAGACCTGGGGTGGGGGGACATTTTGCTGGAAAAATTGAGGCACAGAACCAGTCAACCAAAAAAGTTTGCCCCAACCATATTGACTATAACAGTAGATGGGAGTTGATTAGGGCCTTACCGATCTAGTTTGGTCGCCTGGGGACTTAATCATTAAGAAATCAATTGTCTCTCATGAGATCTAAACTAGAACTACTTTGAAATGTGCCTGTCAAGGTGTCAGGGGAAGGGCGACTGGAAGGGAGCATATGGGCATACTGGTGGGGGAAGTAGACACTAACACTGTTGATGGAATTGGAGTTGGAATATTGTATTTCTAAGACTTGTCTATTGATAACTCTAAATCACAGCTCGTTAAATAAAAAAAATTAAATTTAGAAAAAAATGGACTGTTTCCATATCACATGATCTCAACACAGACTCATGCCCATTCGGGCATGCATTTGTGATGCAAAGAATCGTGGGTCACCCTTACTCAGGAGTTTTCCTCGTCTGTGTCCCACTCACTTTAAACAGACTGGTGGGCTATGGTTTATTCTAGAAAATGTTCATAATTACTAATTTTCTTTGCCTGGTTATAATAGTCAATAAATGGAAAGTATTATTATACTTAGATTTTTCAGTTACCTAATATCAGGCAAACTTTGCCTCAAGAAAAGCCCAAGTTTTTTAAACATAATCTTTGGTCACTATAGGAAATCTGGTATAATATGCATAATATATATCGGAAATGAAGTTATTTTAATTTTCACGCACTTCTAATATATAGATCATTGTTATCAGAAGTATGTGTTGTGCAAAATAACATACTTAGATATTATTAAGCCATATGATACATTATAAACCAATATTATGCAATTCTCTTACATTATTAAGAGAGAAGTAACTTGTTCAATTTTAGTGAAACAAGTGACTGTTTATGATACTTATGATGTATAGATTTGCTCCATTAAAACCAGTACAAAAATAATTATTACTTTTACAAAAAGATAAGACTACCCTCAACCAGTCAAAACTAGATTTAAATTTTGGCTTAAGTTCTTCTGAAACTTCGTATTAGCATGGCTTCCTTTAGTCACAAGTATCATGATTGGTGATCCAACATGAAGTCAGTTTCCTTAACAAGTATTTAGTGAGCCAAATACTGTCAGCAGATTAATTTAACACCGCCCTCCGCCCCGTTTTAATCCTATTGCCAATTAATCATTTGTTTCAGTAAAGTATCTTATATTTATTTATATCACTTGCATCTGTGAAAAAAATTATTCGATTTCACAAATCGATATTTTGCTAAAGAGATGCTAGATCAGCAAAAATTAAAGCATAGATCTAATTTCAACTAATAAATATTTACCCATTGAAAAGTAATGCTTGTGATGCTTCCAATCAATTCCTGCTAGGAAGTTCAAACATCAGTCAGAAAGAAATACACACATGCATGCACAAGAATACTATGGGAAATAATAATGTGTTCTTAAAAAAATATTCTTATCCGGGACCAGAGTGATAGTACAGTGGGTAGAGTGCTTACTTTACATATGGCCGACCCGGATTCAATTCCCAATATCCCATATGGTGTCCTGAGCACCATCAGGAGTAATTCCTGAGCACCAAAACAAGAGTAAACCCTGAGCACTGATGAATGTGACAAAAACCAAAACCAAAAAAAAAATTCTTATCTTAGAAGCAGAAGTGAAGATATGGTGGATAGGGTGTTTGCCTTGCATGCAGCTGATCTGGGTTGACCCTGAGCACCCCATATGGTGATCCAAGACCGCCACCAGTGATTCATGAGCACAAAGCCAGGAATAAGTCCTGAGCACTGCTGAGCATGGCCCAGAAAACAGAAGAAAACAAAAAACCAATTCAAGCTTTTAAAAAAGTTTCCTATGTTTGATTACTCTAACAACTTATTTATGCTGCTTTTCCCTCTCTTTTGGGTCTCAGGTAAGAATAATTTGCTCAGTTAGGTCTCACTAACAATTCTATCACCTCTTGACCTCCTAACTCACAGATATGACTCACTAATGTGTTGTCTTCCTTTTTATTATAAATCCAACTAATGATCACATAACATTCACTCATCTCTGTGTACACTACTGTGAGAAAGCCTCTATGTCTGTTTACTGATATATACTTAGCATAGAGCACAGAGGCTGGCAAAAGGAAGCATTCAACAGAAACGCAGAATCAAGGAATGAATGAATGAAACTCCATCTTATTACTTTTTTATGACCCTTGCAGACTAAGTGCCGAGGAGTGGTTTTGCAGTACACGCATTCATAATTCATTGTGATGTGTAGAGAACGAGAGGATAGATTTCTTTCAACTATTACTCTGCTAAGATTTTCAAGAGAATGGAAATGATTTTTCATACACTTGGATCCTCAGGAACATCATCACACATTAAAATTCAGGTACAGTACTATTCATGCCTTGAAAGAAAAGTTCTGCTCAGATGGAGATTCTGTTGTAAAATGAAACTATATGAAAGACCTCTCTCAGCCCAATTCCAAAAAGAGTTCATATGGTCTTTTCCATGGGGAAGCTTAGTCACCAGCACTCGGGTGCTTGATGAGAAGAAGCTCATCTAAAACCAAAGACCGCGGGAATTTCTTACCTGGAGTCCTTTCTGACTCTTGCTTTCTCAAAGGAAAATTCAGGGGGTTTGTTGAGGTCATAAGTACGGGTTGTTGGCTCGGCAGACACCCCTGCCTTCGCCCCCCTTCTGCTCTGCAGAGAGACCAATCCTGAGGACTTCCGGTGCACCTCCAAAGGTACTTTCTCTGGGGATGCCTGCAGTGGGCTTCCTCCCTGCAGGTGGACTACATCTTGAAGCTTGTTCAGCTGGATGCATTTGCTCTGGAGCTCCTCCGTGAGCTCGGCGATGGCCACGGTCTGCTTGGACAGCTGCTCCCGCAGCTCCTTCAAATGGTACTCCCGCTCCTGGATCTCGGCCTCTTTCCTCCTCAGCTCTCTCTCCAGTTCTAGCACCTTGCTCCGCAGAGCATCATTGCTGAGATTCCTGTGGCCATCCAGGTGCTTGGAATGTTTGGGTTTCACCGAACCATTTCCCATTTTGTGCGAGGGTCTGCAAGAGGACAGAGAATTGTCATTACTCGGTGGACTTTCACTTCCCGACAGCCCTGGCCACTCCTCTTGTTCCCATCGGTACATAAATAAAAACGCAGCAGTCATCGTTGTTTCAGAGAAACATAAATCCCCCCATCCCCACCCTGCTCCCAGAGGAGAGCTTGGGATTGGACCCTTGAGTCCTCCATGAGAAAGAGGTGGCAGGGGTTTCATTGTTCCCTGACCTTTTGTTTGCACAAGTGTCATATGGAAGCATTTTGCATAGATGGCTTGAGTCACCTGCTGTGCTCTTTGGTGGTTCTCTCTGTACAACTGTCAAAAAACAGCGCAACAAGACTGTGATTCTATGTCAGCAAGGTAAAGAGAAAACACAAGTAAGCAGCCGAGGCTTGCAAATATCACAACTCTCAGAGCTCCTGGTGCGGCTACGCTAGAGAAAGCATCTCTGATTTGAAAATAACACATCTGCTTTCCTCAGGAGGGAGACACGGCGGTGGTGTCCCTTTATAAGCAGGCTTGTATTTCTGTTAATGTTTGCTCTTAAAACCTGTAGGGGCTCAGTCATTAGAGAGTAGAACAGGGAAGGGAACTTTATTACACATTTTCCTTAACATTTGGAATGTCCACCAGTGATGCCCTATGGTGCAAAGCTCCATTATTTTCCTGTTAGGAGTCTCCTCGGTGTTGATCCTAAAATAATTCTTAGTCCACTGGGTCTTGAGTTACAACAAGCACATCCGGGATTATGCGTCATAATTTTAGTGCCTCAAAAAAAATGATGATTCACAAACCTTTGTTTAGGAGTCAAAAATGTGTTTCAAGAGGTAGAGCCTAGCTTACACAAGGCCTTGCATGTGCTCTCCAACAGGCATGATATGATACACATATACATACAGCCTCCATAAGATCAAGCACCTGGACCAAGTATGGTCCATAGCAAAACAAGAATGAAAACAAAAAGCCACTTTTCAGTTTAATAATTATGCATTTCACTCTTATTATAAATATAAATAATTTGCACTGGAGCGATAGCACAGGGCTGGAGCGATAGCACAGCGGTAGGGCGTTTGCCTTGCACGCAGCCAACATGGCCGACCCGAGTTCGATTCCTCTGCCCCTCTCGGAGAGCCCGGCAAGCTACCGAGAGTATTCGATATGCCAAACACAGTAACAACAAAGTCTCCAATGGAGACGTTACTGGGCCCGCTCGAGCAAATCGACGATCAACGGGAGGGCCTTTACCTTTTACCTTAATTTGCACAATAAAGTTGTGATTTTATTTATACCACTTAAGAAGAAAAATTATTAGGCTTACTAAACACATTCAATAAAAACAGAAAATAAAACATCAGTGATCATAAGGACCTATAAATGAAATTTTTTAAAAAGAATTGAAAGGGTGAAGTCTGAGATATACTGTTCTGATTAAGGACCAAGGAGTCAAGTCTTTCTAGACCAAACACTTAAACATCACAGTTTTGTATGTGAAATTTTAGTCAGCCACAATCCTAGAAGCATCATAACAATTGTAAACTAAATCTGAATTACCTCTTGTTGTCAAATATCAATGAGAGAAATCACACTTTAAAATGGTGCAACCCACACATTCTTTCCCCCTCCCTTCCTCTAAATTTCAAACTCAAAGAGAAATAAAATGCTGAGATGAACTTTGCCAGCTCTACTGCAATATTATCAACCTCTGCAACAACAAAGGCATCTTTACCTACACGGGGAAAATTGTAGAGCAAGTTTCAAACAGATGCAGTCCAATAACTAATGCAGTTACCAAAAATGGATAGTACATACAGAAAATAAGTGTATTTATATAAGTAATCTCATTTTAAAACTCAGATATTCCTCATGAATCGAGGTTGAAAGCAGTCACTTAAAAAATTCTATCCTCGGGGCTGGAGCAATAGCACAGCGGGTAGGACGTTTGCCTTGCACGCGGCCAACCCGGGTTCAATTCCCAGCATCCCATATGGTCCCCTGAGCACCGCCAGGGGTAATTCCTGAGCGCAGAGCCAGGAGTAACCTCTGTGCATTGCCGGGTGTGACCCAAAAAGCAAAAAAATAAATAAAAAAAAAATTCTGTCCTCCAGAGAATGACCTTACTGTGTTGCAGAAACAAGGCAAGTATAACCTTTATGCTTCTGTTAACTTGGAAGCATTTACGATTCTAGTATATTAAGAATATAGGAAAAGATTGAGGAGATAGGAATTCAATGAAGTGGTCCTGGACACCTCTGTATCTCAAAATAAACAATTTGAAAAATGTTTGACTAGAACTGAAGAATAAAATTAAGTGAGCTCTTGAGGCGTCTGAAGAGACAGTACTGCAAGGAGGGTACCTGCCTTGCATGTAACTGACCCAGGTTCCATCTCTGGCATTGCATATAGTCCCTCGAGAACCACCAGGAGTAATTCCTGAGTGCAGAAACAGGAATCCCTGAGTATTTTCAGTGTGACACCTCCCCCCTCCCCCTTCCCCTACCTCACTGCCCATCCCCCCAACTGAAATGAGATCTTGAATGATAGGCAAAAAAACTCTAAAGGCTCTTCAGTTAATATTGCATAAAAATATTTAATTTGTAGCAGTGTGCCTTTCTTTAAATAGTCTTTGTTGGTTCAAGAACAAACATTCCTAATAATGGAAGGCTAGAAGAAGAAGAGCAACGGTAGAAGGAAAGGGAATGACCTTATGAAAAACAAAAGCAAGAATAACAAGTTATATGTCAGCAGGAAAAAGATACATATGGGATTTCCTCTTTCATTTTCTATTTCATTTCATTTTATTTCATGTAAGGAAACAAACAAGGGAAAGAGGCAACATTCATAGAAAACAATCCACTGGCCACAAAATCAATCCTATTCAGGGGATGGGCTGGAGCAATAGCACAGCGGTAGGGCATTTGCCTTGCACGCAGCCAACATGGCCGACCCGAGTTCGATTCCTCCACACCTCTCCGAGAGCCCAGCAAGCTACTGAGAGTATCTCGCCCACACGGCAGAGCCTGGCAAGCCCCCTGTGACGTATTTGATATGCCAAACACAGTAACAACAAAGTCTCCAGTGGAGACATGACTGTGCCCGCTCGAGCAAATCAATGATCAACGGGAGGGTCTTTACCTTTACCTTTTACCTTACTCAGGGGATGCAGGAAGAACTGGGAGTCAAGGTACAATGGGCTGTAGTGGAGGGATATTGGTAGGTTCAGAGGGCAACACTGAAACCCTAATAACACAGAACCATGCATACCCCTGTAAGCCAATGATACTTCAATTAAAAATAAATTGAAAATAGATAATAAAAATGTTAACGTAAGCAGAAAATGTTTAACACTATCATTAAGTTAATAAGCCTTTATCCACAGAACCATTGCTTGCTAAAGCCTAACTTTTATGCACTCTATTAAGGCTCGTCCTACATCAATTTATCCAGATGTGACACATTAAAGAGCAGTTCTATCATTCTCAATTTCATATTCTAAATATAAAAGACTCCTTCCCTCTATGTATGGAATCTAAAGCACTCTTTTTACTGATCTAATAGTTGCACAAACCTGAAGTGCAATTAGATAGAGGATGTTGAATTCTCCCAAAATGCAGACTATTCTCTGGTTTTAATGCAGTCAGTGTTGGAGCTGTATAAATCTTACAGGCTATTTAGAATTCCAAAGAAGAGTGAAATGAGAGTAACTAAGGCATCTTTCATTCACCAATTTCAGATATGCAAGTGAGTTTCTGAATGGCTCAATAGTAAGCCTTATTTTGCAGTTTGTCCATTAAAATTTTGTCCCTCAAGCCAAGGCTTCACGTATCTGGCTTCGTAAGAGCAATTAGAATCACTCAGTTTTCTGTTCAGTCACCAAGAGAAGTCATTTCTCATCTATGTGTGGAAAGAGTCACTGGACCACAAGATCCTGCCCCATCACCAAAGAGCCATTGGACCACAGGATGCTGCCCCATCAATCTAGCCAGTACCATAGCTTATTGAAATCATCTTATAATTGGTGAGCAGAACATGATGCAATTAGAAGTGAGCTTTTAGATAAAGAGCATTTTATGTGAACAATGGAATCATACTAGCCAAGGGAAGAAAACAATCTGCCCTTCCCCAGCTGTGTAACTTCCTATAAATTACTACTAGAATCTATCTGTCTAGCAAATGGATGTAATTATGTCCATCTCACAAAGTTATTATTCAGATTAGGCTGGGAAAAGTGACCCAGGCAATGTCTGGTGTGTAGCAGGCATCAAGTAAATAATAAAATATGAGAGCAGAGACAAAGTCTGTGAAATCTTGGTGTAAGGAAATACCCAGAGGATATTTTTGCTGGGTGAGTCAGAGGTCCAGTAAAATGGAAGTCTTCTAGACAGGGGGTCTTTAAATATGTAAATTAGTCTCTTGGAGTGGTGGGGACTGTGGTTATTCTGCTTATATTATATTTTTCCTTTTGTATCTTGGTTTATACTGAGTAGTGCTCAGGGAACCATTTCATGCCACGACTCAAACCCAGGCCTCCTGCATGCATGGCTCCATCTCTCCACGATATCTCTCTGGCTTTGGGTCATAGCTTCCACTAAAAAAAGAATGAAGGAATTCTAAAAGAAACATCAAAATAGCATCAGGAATAACACAGTTCCTGGGTCGTGAAGATTTCTTAAAATTTATGATTTCCGCATGTAACCCCTTCTGATACTCATATATTACAGTGAAATCCTTAAACCAAAAGGTCGAATCTGATTATCACTGAAAGCAGAGAAACACCACATCCACTGTGAAGATGGTATTCCTCAGGCAGAACAGGAGAAAATGGATTAAATAGTGGCATGTAGCAAGAAATGTCAGGAAAGGAACACTTTACAATCTAAATAACCATTACATTTATTGCTATGTACAAAACATCACGTATAAGACACAATGCGAAAAATCACAAAGAAAGCAAAATGGATTGTGAATGTTCTTGTAGTCATATTAACACCCAACAGTCAACAT